GTTTGTATTCAACACTCAATCACTTCTTGTGGTTATTCTTCCACTTCTTATGAGACAATAGTTTGCTTTCAATTCATTTAAATCTATAATAAAAATAAATATTACATTAAAATATTACATAAATTGTAATCATTTAAATAATACTTACATTTAAAACACACTTTAATCACAATTGAAACACAATTTTGTTTTGAAATTATTAATACCGTATTTATAATATATTCATAATTAAACATTTTTCCATAGATTTCATACAATTATATAAATCACACAAAATATTAATAATAATTAAAACATTTAATTAAATAATAAATGAATGAAATGTTTATTTGTTGTCATTTTTCACAACAAAAGCCAAACAAAAGCCAATAGTTATTCAATACAAATGTCGCCCTCTTTTGGACACTATTTTCAACACTAATTCCATATTTTATAAATTTTTTAAATTCAAATCAATATATTTCAACACAATTTCGTGCAATTTATATGCAGTATTACAAAGAAAATAATTGTTTAAAATGTTATTTACAACTAAAAATTTTTAAATTAAAAATAGTACACCTTTTTATTTATTCACTAAACATTTTTAAATAAATCCCTATTAAAATTTATCACAAAAAGTGACTTGATAATACAGTAGTAAGTTGTGCACTCACTATATTAAAACAAGTGACCAAGGCTACAAAACAGTTAAAATTAAAAAGTTTATACAAAGAATTTTTTCTAAATATAAAACATTTATAAATAATACAATTATTTATTATACAATTAGTTAAAGTTAAACTTATTATTTGTGTTCACAATATTCTGTATTTTATTGTTAGTAAGTAATATATATTTGGATGTAATAAACAATGAATTCAATAGTAAATCACTTATCATTTAAATAATACTCATAAAACAACACAATATCTGTTACTAATTATTATTAATTAATAATACAATTTATAAATCATTTCATAACTGTTTTTATTGTTTAATAATTTCTTTGAAATAATCATTAATGAGTTTATAATCAATTGATTTTGTGTTAAATATAAGGATTTGTAATTCAAATTCATGTTTCATTTGTAGGATTATATTAGCGTTGATTTCGTTTGTATTTTCACCAAAAATATCATTGAATTCATTGATTATATCAGAAAAATTTCGTGTCATGTCTTCTCCTCTTTTATAAAGTAATCCATTAATGAATTCTTGCATTTGATCCACATTTACACCAAAATTATCCCAAATATATGTCTTGTAATCAATGTTTTTGTTGTCATTTCTATTAAATTTAAATAATTTGTAATTAATTTAATGTAATTTAATTTGTAATAAAAATATGCATACTTAATATGTGCTAGTTGATGTTCAAACAACTCGTGCATAATCTCTCCAAGTCTATTGAAATATGTGCTCACACTTTGATTTGCATTAAAAAGGTTTACATATCTATAACAATATAATTTCATATAATTATCACTCATTATATTATTATTTGTAATGAATATATGTTTTGTATTGAATGAAATGTTCTGGATATTTATATCCAAAGCAATCAATCCTTGAAAACAATGCAATAATTGTCTCAACAATTGCTGTGAAATAAGGAAATCAATTGAAATGATTGCCAACGAGTGATGGGTTTGTGTCCCAAATATCACGTGTTTTGCATTTATGACATCCCATAGAGTTGTCGAACAAAACTTCATTTGAATATAAATCTCATGAATTCCTATAGAATTGCTTTCAATCCAAGAGTTATAGATTTGTAGCAAATATTGTGGTTTTAATTCAAATAGTTTTCTAATATACGGCACAACAATCTTCACCCAAAAATAAACTATAAATTAAATATGTTAATAATATTACATTGAATAATTAAATGATGAAACTTTATTGTAACTTACAGAATTCCGACAATTTGCTTAAGAAATATAAATTCTTGTTTTTAATATACTCAACTTGAGCAAATTCACTAAAATCTTGCTTTCTACCTAATTTATTATCCAGATTTCCATGCCATGTAAACGCCCGGTTGATTACTATTATAGAATTATTAACCATTAATAAAATAGAATAATTATTGAATTATTATATTAGTATACATTCTATTACTAATTATTCATTGTAATAAAGCACTTACATGGTTGTGCATCAACGTTTTCGTCTAGGTGATTTAAAAAGTAATTGATATCTGTGAGTTTAAAACAGTAATTTTAGTTAACACAATAAATATGTCAATAAAATTTTTATTATTTTGATTTACCATTATTTTGATCATCTGTTTGGCACACAATACAACTCTTATGACATTCAAAAAAATAATCTAAAAAGAGTTTGAATTTGTTGCCAATTATAACATCAGAAAAATCACTTTTTTCAACAATAGGTGCAATCGATAAGTGCTTTAATTTGTCTAAAATTATTCCACATTCAGGTCTTTGTTTCCATATATCCTTAATATCTTCACAATTCTCTGTATACGTACTGATACTCATTGATAGCAATAATGTGTACATTTGAACCAATTTTATCTTTAGCTTAATGTTATCAATACTTTCAAAGTTAGTTTCCAATCTAAAAATAAAATTACATTTCCGTCACAATTAATTACTATTCTTTATACTGTATAAATGTTATCAATAGGATATGTTTATAGATTGTGTAGTAATAATAACATACACTCCGTCTCTGATATCGTCGGAATCAAAACCAAATATTTTCGCTCCAATGAGTGCCAGACTATAGACATCTATTAAATGGTTGTATTCAGTGGTCTGTCCTTCAGAATGAAAAACAAAAGGAAAATATTTTGAAAGAAACGGATAACTTGATTAAATTGCGCTCAATATATGTCATTCAATACTATCACTCGTGGATTGAAATGAATTGTTTATACATTAAATGGTTGTATTCAGTGGTCTGTCCTTCGGGTGCCATATATTGAACCACATCTGCGGTGTGTTTAGCACTGCTTTGATTGTATGCATCACTCAATGCTTTCACTTCTTTAGACAAACCGAAGTCACATAACTTTATATATCTATTAGTTTTGTTGTCAATCAAAACATTATCGGGTTTGAGGTCTCTGTGAATGATATTATTTTTGTGCAAATACTCCACACTTTCCACCAATTGTTTGAATATTTCATATGATATATAATAATCAAATTCAGTCATTATTTTCCCAAATAATTGTCTCTTAATTTTTAAAATTTGTGTTAAACTTCCGGCCAAACAATCCATTTGAATGTATAAACAATTCATTTCAATCCACGAGTGATAGTATTGAATGACATATATTGAGCGCAATTTAATCAAGTTATCCGTTTCTTTCAAAATATTTTCCTTTTGTTTTTCATTCAAATCTAAAAGTAAATTAATATAAATTAAATTAAATTAAACAACTATAATTAATTACTTGTTATAATTAACTGAAAATAATTACCACTTAATTTGCATTTTTTAATGGCATATTTTTCGTTATTATTCTCCACTTCAAACACGTGTCCAAAACCACCGGATCCTAAAGAATCCAATTCTTTATACATATCCCTGTAATTCATCCCTCGATTCGTTTCTAATACATTATTATAATTAATAAGTATTTATTAATATTAAAATTAGTAAACAATTTAGTATACTGTACATTGAATTATGTGTTTAACTATATCTCACCAAAACGCGATGTTGTGTTAATTGTTTTAAAACAATTCACATGTTTAGTGATATCAATAGTTCTAAAAGTTTCTTGATATTCATTAGCAAAATATTCATCAAATGTTGTATATTTTGTTTCATTAAATGCCATTTTATTTCCATTAAATTCATATACTTTTTTGCCACTAATACCAAGAATAATAGGATTAGTGCCATACCGTAATGGAGCAAGATCATCGAACAGTAAATTATTCACTTTGATCATTTGCTTATTATTTTTTAGATCATATTTATAAACTTGTTGTTTAGTAGATATCATAATTATAAGATCGCGAAACTGCACATCCCTTGACAAGTAAGTACATATCATGCATACAGTCATTATATTAGTAACATTTGCTAATAATTGTGGTGTAATCGGTGTCTCGGAGTCTCCAATCTCGGCCCACATTGTGGTACCGGCTTTACCGCCGCTATACTGCGTTCATCATAAATATTAAATGCATTAAAAACTTATAGATTGATCAAAATTATTTTGTAAATAGAAAAATAAATTGTGTGTTTTATCAGATTTAACATTAGCGCAGACTTATGATTATTCCATAGGATTAACATTATTCCTAGATTTATCACTACGCATAGACTAAACAAAATAATATTTTTATAAAGTTTACATTTTATGCCTATTTGTGCCCTAAATTAGAAATACTTTAAGTTGTTTTTGACTATTTGTTATCCTATTAAAAATTACTTTAATACTCAAAACTTAATTAATAATTAATGAATATATAGTTTATACATACAGTTCCCGCTCTCGAGATTACATTTGGCCACAAAAACACCTCTCCATTGGATGTAATGGCAAATGACTGCTCAGTACAGCACATAATGTCCACAATTTTGTATTCAACGGGAAATTGCAATTCAATTGGAGTTTGTTTTTCAATTGAATTATATCTCCATTGAAATACCCGTCTATCGGATGTGAGAACAAGAGTTGAGTAGTTATAACACAATAGTTTCTCAATACGTAAATCATGTGAATTACATAATAATATTTTGTGCGGTTTATTAAAAGTGTATGTATTGGCAAAACTGGTCGACTGATTGCGACCCCATCTAAATATAATGTGATCGCAATTCAAAGCCACCACAAAATCATATCCATTGAAAAATTGCTGTATATTATTATGACTTAATTGCGGCACTTCTTCGGGTGTATGTATGGGTCGGTTGTGACCTAAACCTAACTCTCCGGCACTATTATAGCCCAACCCATAGACCCGATCACTAGTCGTCACAAACAATATGTTTTTGTTTTTCTCATTTATAGCCGTTTCGCCGAAAACATGAAATAATTTGATTTCTTGTCTCAAATTTTGTAGAATTTTAGCACAAATTTCAAACTTATTTAAAATGTCAGACATTTTAATAAAACAAAATAATTATTATAAAAATCAAATAATATAAATATTGTTCAATTCATGTTTTATTCAGTTTATGGTCAATACTTATAGAAATATAAACTTATATTTATATATTGATATGGATCGCATGACTCATATATCCTAAACTTTCTATTTGATGTAATTCTGTAATTTTCCCTAAGTTTTGAATTGTATGCCTTATCTTAAACCAATCATAGCATTGGGTTTCCAACGGTTATTAGCATTAGTTTATGTCACAAAATAATAATCATTTTGTGAATGTTTTGCTCTGATATCGGAAAATCAATTAAATTTTTGTCTGTTTTTTGTGTATATGAGAAATGATGGGAAAAGAGTTGTGGAGTGAATGTATGAACAAAGAGCCTGTCATTCAATATTGATATTGACACGACATGTGTCCTAAACTTTCTATTAGATGTAATTCTGTAATTTTCCCTAAGTTTTTGAATTGTATGCCTTATCTTAAACCAATCATAGCATTGGGTTTCCAACGGTTTCCCCAAACTTGAGCCCAATACTCACCTGTATTTCCCACACATTACCTGTATTTAAGAGCCACTCCATGTGCTCTCTATAGTCAGTCTATGTTCGAGCCCTCGACTGTCCAGTCGCTCCATTGACTCCACTCTATCTGAGTGCCAACCATTTCTCCATTGTTCTAAACATGTGCTAATCGGCCATATCTTGCGCCAGCATTTCATCCATTTTAACCACAATTTACACAATTATCTTATTGTATTTTATACCAGTTTTTATCATTTATTTTGTGCTAAATAAAGTAATTTAAATTGCAATCAAAAGCAACAACAAAATCTCTGCTTCCGTAAAAGCTGGACATTTGTATCTGCTTTCCAAAAGCTAAGACAAATCCTCTGCTTCCGTAAAAGCTGGGAAATCGCGTCCGCTTTCATCACATCTCTACTGTAACGCTGTTTGCATAGGATTTGGTGGGTTTCCCATAAGAAAGTGCATTCGCATAGGATTTGGTGGAACAAATCCTCTGCTTCCGTAAAAGCTGGGAAATCGCGTCCGCTTTCATCACATCTCTACTGTAACGCTGTTTGCATAGGATTTGGTGGGTTTCCCATAAGAAAGTGCATTCGCATAGGATTTGGTGGGTTTCCCATAGGAAAACACCCGCTCAGATCGTTCGAACACTCATCACCGCTCGGCGCACACTCTCCTCTCGCCTCTGGCCACCGCTTATGTGATCACTCTCTGGACAGTAACCCACGTCTGTCAGAGAGCATCCACTCCTTCACACACTCTCCACGACAGCACTGCCTCTCTAACGGCGCCATCGACCAGACAGCGCACCGTATAAGAGTCGGCACAACAATCACAAAAGCATAAGTGACACAAAAATCAATCGCTAACTCAAGTGACCAATCGATTGGTGACTGAAAAATATTTTGTGTTGCTTTCGCTTTACAAATGCATTGAACGGTAAGTTTTAGACACAATTTTATTATATCAGTTCATCTCTTCTATTGTTATATTTATATTTTCTTATTATTATTCGTTTGTATTTATTATTTATTAATATTTATTTCCTTTTTCTCTAATATACAAAAATTCTTTATAAAGTATTATAAATTATTTACTTATCAAAAGTGTAATACATTTTTGCGATATCAATACCCAACAGAATATTCTGTAACCTTTTATTATTATATACGAGAAAATTATGCATAATTTCTTTATATATTGTCTAAAATTATAAATAATGTTTAAAACTTATTGTTAAAAATTTTATGCAAAATTTCTTTGAAAAATATTCCAATTGTTGTTTTTGTATTGTATTTCTTGTATTGTTTTTGGTCGACTCCTTAGCAAAACAAATGCAATTCATGTGTTTATTTCATTTGCAATCACAAAAGCATAAGTGACACAAAAATCAATCGCTAACTCAAGTGACCAATCGATTGGTGACTGAAAAATATTTTGTGTTGCTTTCGCTTTACAAATGCATTGAACGGTAAGTTTTAGACACAATTTCATTATATATCAGTTCATCTCTTCTATTGTTATATTTATATCTTCTTATTATTATTCGTTTGTATTTATTATTTATTAATATTTATTTCCTTTTTCTCTAATATACGAAAATTCTTTATAAAGTATTATATATTATTTACTTATCAAAAGTGTAATACATTTTTGCGATATCAATACCCAACAGAATATTTTGTAACCTTTTATTATTATATACGAGAAAATTATGCATAATTTCTTTATATATTGTCTAAAATTATAAATAATGTTTAAAACTTATTATTAAAAATTTTATGCAAAATTTCTTTGAAAAATATTCCAATTGTTGTTTTTGTATTGTATTTCTTGTATTGTTTTTGGTCGACTCCTTAGCAAAACAAATGCAATTCATGTGTTTATTTCATTTGCAAATTAATTGAATTATTGGGAGAATCGATAAAACTTTAGTGCAATTAATTTCAATTCTCTCTCACTATAACCATCATTATATTTATGATGAAAGTCTATACAGTATTTTACAACACGTAAATTATATAATACCTAACGGACAGTGCATTGTATGTGTTATTATCATGATTGCTGTCATTATTGAAATATAACACAAATATAATTATTATTTTTCTCTCCCATTCCTATCAATGACTGCATATTAGTGGCCGAAAAAGCAAATCATTAATGAAAATCCCTTTTTATCTCTTGAATAGCGTTTATTAAATGAGATGAATATAATAATAATGACATTCATTGTATTTATTCGACGAATTAACAGATTATTTATTAAATTCATAGTAAAATTAATTTTGCGTAAATTATTTAGGATATTATTAATTGCTTTTTCTTAAAATCGTCGCCAATATTGAATGAAATTTCCCATTTTAGATGTGAAATATTAATAAATATATTTATATTGTGTTTTATATCCACATATTAATACTCTGTATTGAGTAAAATCATTAATAAATATATAATAATTCATTTGAAAAGCAAAAGAGAGAAAACTAATATCATATAATGAATAAATTATTTTATTATTATTTATTTAGATATTAATGAATATTTTCTGCATTCATATACAAGAGAAGGTCTTATGTAATAATTTGTGAATTTGTTTCTCGTCACTAATTATTGTTTTATTTAAATTTAATTTTAAATCTATTCAAATATTATTAAATACGTAATCCATGGATATTATAATTTATGGGATTTAATAACTTTTGGTTAGATATTTATATTATGCAAACATTATGTATTATAATAGTTGGAATTACATCTATTTGAATTTTTCATAATTATTCATATAAAATATTTTACATACTAAATGTTTAGCTTCTCTCTCTCTCTCTCTCTCTCTCTCTCTCTCTCTCTCTCTCTCTAACTCCACAACTCTTTTCCCATCATTTCTCATATACACAAAAAACAGACAAAAATTTAATTGATTTTCCGATATCAGAGCAAAACATTCACAAAATGATTATTATTTTGTGACATAAACTAATGCTAATGAATTATATACACAGCCTCTCTCTCTCTCTCTCTCTCTCTCAACTCTGGTATTTACTTATAAAATACATTTCTTTTATTATTTTTTGCAATGACTGAATGCTCACAATTTTAATATATTTGACGTTAAAATCTTCAAAATTTTTTGTAAATAATATTTATGTTTGGATTCACTTCTCGTTTACGTATTTATTATGAAAATATTTTCACTCAAATAGAGATAGAAATATGTATATAATATTAATATATTCTGTTTAATGGAATTCTGGATTTATTAATATAAAACTCAGGCATATTTGCCTCCAGTATAGCCAATATATTTCATATAATGTTTTGATTTAAATCATTGCAAATCAAATCTGTCGGATGTCATACATATGTACTCTATTTATATTATGTAATACTGATTAACATCTAAATTAAAGTACAGTAAACAAAG